CACCTTCTAGACACTTCCATAATAACAAGAGAGTGGGGATTATCCCAGGGGCCTTGGCAAGTCCAAAGCAATCTGCTGAGGACATCTAGTGTCACTTTTATGAGTGTAGACATTATGGTATAGGCAAAAGATCCCTGAGGCCTAGAAACTGTGTTTGAGTCCTGGCTCTTCCACCAAAAGCTGTGGCAGAACAAGAAGGAGCAGAGACCCAGGAAGAGCAGAGAGCTTTGGTTCTTGTTCATCCATTCAACAAGTTTCAACAACTGTGCTACTTCCTGGGGACACCAAGATGAATTAGACACAAGCTCCACCACCCCTCATGAGCATATGTCCCAGTGGCAAGGACAGACAAGAACACAAACCACCATAAAGCAATGTAGTGGATGTTATGATATTCTGTACAGAGACAAAAGAGACTGTTGACTTCAGTTCTTCATCCACAAACCAGTTGACCTTGCATTTAAGCCTAGGATTTCCACAGTCTTCCCTGATATCCCTTCTCTTAAAGTTGTTTGGGGAAAGGGTTTCTGGATGATCTCCCAGTTCTGACGTTCTTTGACTTGATATGACTCTGCTTCACTTATTTAACAAATCTTGACTGGATGCCTACTATCACTAGGCACTGTGCTGGATACCTGGATTTCCTGTTTCTCAAATGGCAATTAATAGTGTCTGCACTAATTCATTCATACTAATGAGCTCATAGATATGAAGATGCTTTAGAAAAAAGTCCATCACCATAGAAATGCATGGCAGCTTTATTGTAATAAGTGGGTGCTTTTCTTCAGTTAGTTATTCTAAAACTTGCCCTACTAATTTTGTCATCTTGCATTAACATGCAACTAAACGAGCTTTCCACAAAGAAGGAACGCTCTGCCAAAAATGCATCCATTAATGACACCTTGTTAAGACATAGCCAAAGCCATAATCATTTTCACTTTTCTTTGGCCCTCTCTTAGCCCATTTTTCATCCCCACCAGAGACTTTTCCTTTCTTTATGAAAAGATGAAAACATAAGCAGCCATTTTATAAATTCTGGACAAACCCCATCCACCAAGCTTAAGGTCATTGTTACCCCATTTTGGCAGTATCTCCTCCCTCTCCTGCCCTCCTTTCCAGAGACCCTTTGACCTTAGGATTTCAGAGCATGACCAAGGTGCTCTGTACCCTTTCTGTTCCAGGCCTCAACCAGGCAGCATCCAAACTCCTGCTCTTTTTTTCTTAGCAAAATTAACCTATCAGACAGTTTCAAATCTATCATCAACAAAGGTGGGGAAAAAAAACTCACCTATTCACCCAAGAAAGTTGAAAATAGGTGTTCAAACAAACATTTGTATGTGAATATTTATAACAGCACTGTTCACAATAGCCAAAAGGTGGAAATAACCCAAATGTCTATCAACTAATGAATGGAAAAACAAAATATGTTATATCCACACAATAGAATATTATCCAGCCATAGAAAGGAATGAAGTACTGATCTATGTTACAACATGGATGAACTTTGGAAACGTTATGCTAATAAAAGAAGCCAGACACAGAAGACTATATATTATATGATTTGATTTTTAAAAAATATCCAGAATAGGCAAATCCATAGAGACAAAAGTCAGATTAGGTTGCCAGGGGCTGAGGGGAAGAGAGAGAATTAGGGGTGACTGCTTAATGAGTATAGAGTTTCTTTTCAAGGTGATGAAAAAATACTGGAGTTGGAGAGTGGTGACAGTCACTCAACCCTGTGAGTGTACTAAAAGCCACTGAATTGTACACCTTAAAATAGTTAAAATGATAAATTTTATGTTATGTGAATTTTACCTCAATTTTAAAAAAAGAAGACTAAGCCCTTAAAAAACACTTCGCCAATCCTGTGACTCCATTCTTTTAGAGACCTGAGAGGTGATGGGCAGCTAATCTAATAATTCAATTCATACCAGGATTTAACACCTAGTAGCATTTCACAGTTAACCCTTCAAGAAACCATTTGTGTGTAAAGCCAATATTGTAATATTCCCACTAGCCCATCCCATGACTATCTCAGACTGTCCTAATACATCCCTGTATTCTTCCCCACCACCACCACTAAATCCAGATGTGGCCCCAGAACCCTTCTTAATAATGTTCCAAGCAAGCAGCCTCTGCTATGATCTCAGATGGAATATGAGATGAAATCTATTTCTGAGTGACTATTCATCTCAGATTTGGCTAAGCATAAGTGCTAATTTCTGGTTTGGAAATTATAATATTTCTCTATATGGGAATTTCAGGAGTCAACTGGAGAAATATTATAGGATGGACTGTAGGGAGACTTGCCTCAGCTTTCAACTCAAACCAAATGGCCCAATGCCAACCCAGCCTACCTGTCAGGCCAGCCCCAAGGACACTCTCAAAACATAACTTAAGTAGATTTTCCTTGATTTCCTCAAGAGCCACTATACAACAGAGATCTAGGCCAGAGCCCTCAAGCATGCATATCTGCTTGTGTGTGCTGGTGTGTGTTTGGGTGAAGAAAAAAAGGATCACGAGGAACTCACAGCTTTGCTCAGAGAAGAAGAAAGGGAGAGAAGAGAGGAGGAGTAAAGAAATAAAAAAATTGAAGGCAGGAGGGATCTGACTGGTGCAGGGGCCTTAGAACCTTGACTATCAGTCCTGCTTATGAATAAATAAAGGCAGCTTGGATTAAAATCCCCAGTAGTCACCAACACAGGCTGAGCCAAGGAGTCTGTGGCTCCCTCCCACAGGGCCAACTGCAGCTGTGTATTAAGGACACTCTCTTGAGCTGCAGGCAGTACACTGCAACGAGGGGCTGCCGAGGAATCAGGACCAGGAATCAATAAGAGGGTGCAACAATGTAGTGTGTGTATATGTGTCCTTGTGTCCATGTGGCATGTGTGTATTGGTGTGTGTGTCTATGTGTGTGTGTCTGTAGCACTTATGCTAATAAAGCCATGACTTTTCTCCTCTAAAAGCTGCATTGTTCCACTTGGAATACTTCACAGCATAAATTGCTAGTCCACAAACAGAATCACAGACAAAAACACCTCCAGTTTATTATGATGAACTTGTTTTAAAAATCACAAATAAGGCTTCCTCCACTATTATGCCAAGTGCAGAGAAGCAACTACCCTCAGCGGCACATAGCTAATTAGAGTGAAACACATATCCTTCATTGTGCCCCCCTCCCATTCCCTCAACTACCAGTCCTTCTGACATTGTTCTAAACACAAACCCTCAAGTGGGAACAGACTTGATGACCGTGGAGTCTTT